CCCCCACACCTCACTGGTCCTGGCCGGGACCCACCTGTCAGGGCTCCGCCATGGGACTCAGGGAACAGTCATCGGGTTCGGGTGGTGTGTGCCGTGAGCCGGCTGCTGGAGAGGGGGCTCCCCCTGACTGCTGGTAGGGGACCTTCTGCACCCGCAGCTGTAGGAGCCCCCCCAACCCCGCATTCGTGCCGGGACCAGCCTGACTGCCTCTTTCCTCCCCAGGGTCTGGACGACTACGGGGCGCGGGCTGTGAGCAGGTGAGGAGCCGTGCGCTGTGCTGGGAACGGGGGGGCTGGGGGGAGGGGGACCACGGGGCCTCTCGGGTCAGGCAGGCAGGGTCCGGGGCCCGTGATCCGTGCCCATCAGACCCTTAGGCAGGACGCCCCGCCCGAGGCTTCGCCAAGTTCAGGCATCGCCGAGCGGGGCTCCAGGGCTGCCTCTGCCCGCGGGGGAGCGGGAGCCAGTGTGTGCTGCCCAGCCCGGCCCCAGCACGCCGACTGGCCACAGCCATGCGCTCCCGCTCCCTCCCACGGCCCCTTCTGCCTGGCCCACTCCGGGCACCGGCGCTGGGCACTGCCTCACGCCCCTGCCCGGCTCTGCCCGCATCCCGCTCCGGGCGCCCGCGCCAGCCAGGCTGCGGCGCTGAGCGGGGCGGCGGGCGCGGCCGGCAGCTGTGCTTGCTCTGTTCGCAGCGGCAGCGGCACGCTGGTGTCCACGGTGTGAGGACGGGACACACTCTGCCGCGGAGGAGCCGCCGCCTGCCTCCACGTCCCTCTCGCTCTCGTCGGTTTGTTTTCGGGTCGTTTTTCTTCCCCACCCGCCCCTCTCGCCTTTTTGGTTGGTGACCCCAGACTCAGATCCCCACGGTCCATGGTGCTGCCCCCCTCCGCTCCCGTGGACACGCCACGCGTGGCCCGCCCGCCAGCAGCGTGCCCGTGTCCTGGCCGCTGCCCATCTGCCGAGGCTGCACTCGCTGCTCTTTCAAAGGCTCGCCTGAGCCCGCTCTGACGTTTGAAGAAAAAGAAAAACCTTAAAAAAAAGAAAGAAAAAGAAAAAAACAAAACAAAAAAAACACACAGCAAAAACTGAAAACGGGAAAAGGACTTTTTTTTCCCCTCAAAACAAACCAGAAAAAGATCTGCATGGACTCCGGTGTGCTACTGTTACTTCTGCATCTGACCCGCCAGGGGCACCTGTCAGACAGGAGGGCGGCTCCCCTGCTCCCGCCCCCGGCTCTGGCCGGGCCCTGGGAGGCTGCCCTGGGGAGGCTGTGCCGCTGCCGGCGCCTGAGGGCTCCCCGGACTCCGTGGACGGCGTCCGGCGCCCAGCGCGGCCTCCCTCTCGGCGGCGGCCCTCGCCCAGCACCCTGCGGGAGGGGGCGGGAGCAGGGCCACCTGGCCGCACGGACATGCCAAAGACCTCCAGGGCCACCCCACCCTGCGTCCCGGACACCGGTCCCTGCACTGGCCTGGTGAGGGCGGCTCGGCCGCCGGCGGCACGGGGCAGAGGCACCGAGGGCGGCTCCGGGCACTGCCCGCACGCCTGCCGCCCCCGGGAAGGTACCCCGTGCCCCTAAGCGCTCTCGTCTTTTTGTGTGTCTTGCTGGCTTCAGAAAGAGACACGCTGGACTCAGTGGCTACTGGTATTGCCTCCTCATACGCTGAAGCCGGGAAGCCGGCGAGGGCGGCCCCGGCCCGGCCTTCCTGCCGCGGAGCCGGGAGCCGCCGGCGGGCGCTCCTTTCACAGCGGCATGACTTAGCAAGAGCCTCCCGCGGACTGGGACGCGGCCGGGAGCGTTGGCGACAGAAGCCGCCAAGACACAGACCGTTTTATATTCAAGGAAAATGCAAAAAAGCCAGACGTGGGCTGCCCAGCCCTCCGTGCTGGTCCCGCCTTCGCTCGCAGCTCTCAACCCAGGGACTCCGCGCGCGAACGTAGACACCGCCAGCTCGAACGAAGGTGTGAAGTGCTCACGATGGTTCCCGCCTTTTCTTTTTTAAATCTGAATTGTGCCCTGTACTGCAGTGGTTTGAATAAAAGTTTTATTTATTGCATCGAGTTGGGTGTGGCACCTTCTTGCAGCCCCATGGGGCTCCGCGCCGCCGCCTGGGAGCCCGGGGCCACGGGCCGGCCCTGTGCTCCCGCCCTGGGTGCCCGTCTCTGCCCGGACCCCCCGTACCTGCAGCAACAGCCCTGTGTTCCCTTGCAGCCCCGAGGTGGAAGTGGCCCGGTTCTGAGCTGCCGTCTCGAGTTAGTAAGTGACTCACGCTGGGCAGTCTGCGTCCACGGGGCCGGCAGGCCCTCCGGCCTCTGCCCGGCGGCGGGGCGGGCCATGGGTGCCAGCATGCTCGCTCAGGGCTCCAGGCCTTCGCTTCCCTGCGGCTGCTCCGGGCTCAAGGTCTTTCTCTGCGGGGCTCCTCGGCCCTGGGCACCCCACTGCCAGCCGGGCTGCCCTCTGTCCGGTTTCTCCTTCCTCCGCTGCTGCTTCGGCCACAATCGGGGTCTCCCTGGTGATCAGATGGGGCTCCTCTGGCTGAGGGTTCCCTCGGGGCCCTGTGGGCGTGGGTCTGGGACCACCCGAGACCCCCAGGCTGGTGAGTATTGCAGCCCCCCTGGAGGCCCGGGGGGACCGGGGCAGAGCTCCCAGGAGCCGCCCGCCGTCTGCCCCCTGGGGACCCTGGGTGCAGAGTTGTGGCTGCCAGCTCAGCCCCATGGCCGGGCCCCACCCCCACCCTGAGACACTGAGGGGGCCCTGTGGGCACATCCTGGTCCTTTATCGAGGATGGAGGTCAGCTGGCCACGGGTGTCCTGGCACTGCCATCCCCTGGGCAGCCAGACCCGGCAGAGCTGGGCTTCCTCTCTGCCGCCACCTTTGGGTTGGCGAGCTGCAGCGATTTCCAGAACATTCTGGAGCCAGGTGCTCCTGGAGTTTGGGAAACAGTGGGAATGCCTCTGGCGGCCCCATGGTCGCCCTGGGCCTCCACCTCCTCTCCGGCCTCAGGGGTGCCGTGTCCGGCCCTCAGAATGGCCCGCCTGTCCACCAAGCTGTGCTGCCTGGTCCCTCCAAGCCGTCGGGCTGAGCATCCTTGCCTCCGGGGGCCCAGAAGGCTGGGGCTGGGGGACCCCACCTCTGGGTGCAGGGAGCCCCGGGGCCCCGCGGACTCTTGGTGAAGTGGGTGCACCTGGCACAGGCCCCCAGCTGTCACCCGGCTCCTGAGTCACTTGTGGTCGGCTGAGGAGCCTCCCAGCTCGGCCGAGGTCTGGGCGGGTGGGGCGGGAAGATTCCAGAAGGCCCAGGTCCTGCCGCTCTGAGAGCCACCTGGGCTTAGAGACGAGACCGGTCGGGAGGAAGTGGAGGCCTGTGCCGGGTCCCGGGGCCCTGCTCCCCCCGAGGAGAAGCCGCCAGGTCAGGACTGGCTGTCCTCAGAGCGGCCTGCCGTTGGTGCCAGGGGTCCGGTTCCGGAGACTGGGATTGGGGTTGGCGGGGCAGGCGCCGTGGTGTGGGCCCTAAGGGCTGCCCGGGGCCCTGGGCCCCTGCGCTCTGAGCCTGCCCTGCATCGCCCTCGGCCCCGAGGCCGCTCTGCGCCCGGAGCCGGAACCTTCCCCGCAGAGAAGGCGCCAGCCACGCCCTGTCCGTTCAGGATGCCCGTGGCGGCTCGGCGAAGGGCCGGTGCGCCATGGAGCCCCCCGGGGTCAGCCGGGCGGTCCCCTGTGCAGGCCGTGCCCCTGGCCGCTCCGGCCGGGCCTGTGTGCAGGCCGCCGTCCGCCCGCGTGCTGGCGCTGCCCGGGCCTGACCAGCCCTCAGGCCGTCCTGCCATCTTGGTGCCGACCTGGGCTGTTCCCCGGCCACAGGCTCCCTCCCCGGGTAGCTCACGAGCAGGTTCTTTCCCGGAAGGAAGAACCTTCCAGAAAGTGACAGGTGCTGGGGGCTGTGCCCTCCCTCTGTGCTGGGAGGTGGGGTGTCGTCCGCCTGGGGTCTTGGTGACGCCACCTGCAGTACGAACAGGCATGAGGGCCCCGGCCAGTGTTTGGGGAGCGGGTCAGGACGTGGGGTCAGAGGTCAGAGGCCAGAAGCCCTCATGGCGGGGCCTTTCTGGCCCTATAACCCCTCTCCCCACTGACCTCGGGGAAGGGGTCAGGGCAGAGCTGTGCGCGCCCACACCCTCCCGGCCGCTGCCCACAGCTCTGGTCCCATGGGAGCCGCCCGGCCTCCCCTGCTCGGCCCAGACCTGCCCCAATTCCAGGCCCCGGGGACCCTCTAGCAGAGGGGGAGCCGGGCAGGGGCCACCGGTGCCTGCGCCCAGGGGCGGACACCTCGGGAGCCAGCACGCGGCCCCTGCCCGGGCCAGCGCCACCGGAGCTCCTGGGTGCAGGGCAGGCGGAGAGGCCGGGTGAGGCGCCGAGGCCCCAGGTGGGCACGACCCGGAACTGAAGCCTCAGGCGCGGAGGGGAGGCGGCCTCCCTCAGCGGCGCCGAGGGTAGTGCTTTGAAGACAAGTGCCCGGGAAGCACGGGCGGTGCCCCTCCCGCGGGCGCCCGGCATCCAGGACTGCGCCCGCCACGCCCACGCCCGCGCCCGCGCCCGCGGGGACGCCGCCCCGGAGCAGAGGCCCCTCCGCCCAGGTAACGGCGCGGAGCCGCGTGCTTCGGAGTGTGGTCCTGTCCGTCCGCCTGTGTCCATCGTCTGTCCCCGCGGCCTGCGTCCGGCTCCCTGGCGCCGAGCACGGGCGTCCCGAGGGCCAGGCGGGCGCCGCCCGCTCCTCCGTTCCATCTCAGCCTGTGTCTGGCCAGCCCATCTGTCCGTCCGTCCGTCCGTCCGCTGTGGCCTCGGCATGCGGGGGGTGTGCCGGGGACGGGTGCTGCCGCCTGCTGCGAGGCGGTTCTCGGGGAGCCGGGTGCGTGCGCCTCCTGTCTGTCCGCTCAGCTCGGCCACACGGGCCGGGATGCATGGCCGGGCGTGGGGGCTGCTGGGCTGTGTGTGTCCGCAGGTGTGTCCTCGCACAGGGGCCGGGCCGCTGGGCCCTGTGGGCACCTCCCAGACTGGAGGGGCGGCCCCCGGGGACTGCGGGGCGCTGGGTCCCGGCCCCAGGGCAGGAGTGGAGGGCAAAGTGGCCCCCCAACCCGCCCTGCCCTGGCTCCGAGCCCCCGAGTCCTCCTCTTACAGGCGGGCAGACTGAGGCCCCGGGGTCCAGTCGTGCCGTTTGTCCCAGGCGCCCCGACTCACAGCACCCCCACACTAACGCCGCCCTCTCCTCCACAGGAACCCCTTCGTCAGGGTCCAGCTGAAGCCGACGGCGACCAAGGACAGGTCTGCCCCCCTCCTCAGCTGACACCCTCAGCACGGGCCACGGCCCTCCCCGCCCTCCTGGGAGCCCTGGTTCCGACTCCCCTGGCCGCCTCCAGAGACTTCCTCACGCCTCCCCTGAACCCGCTGCGCCTGGGACCGGCGCTGCCCGGCTGAGGGACTGGTGGGCCGGGCCTGCCGGCAGGCCGTGGGCCCAGAGCCCAGAGCGAGGGAAGGACAGTCTGCAGCAGTGGCTGCGGGGAGCCCAGCCCCGCCTGCTCCTAGGTGTCCGATCAATAAACAACTGCTCCACCTGTGCCCGCTGTGATGTCTCCTGGCTGGCAGGGCACCTGGGCGGGAGGCTCGGGGGTGGGGCCTGGGCTGGGGGGGCCTTCCTTCTCTGGTGGGGACCAACCTTCCTGGCAGGCCCTCGGCTGGGGCTTTGCTGGGCCCCCACCCCAGGCCCCTCCTGCCCAGCCCCCTTCCCACCTTTCTCCTCCCCGTCCCCGAGGGCGGGGGGGGGGGGGGGTAGGCGCTGTGGCCTGGGTCTCCGAGCTGGATGCCATTGGGGTTCTGCACAGGACCCCTGTCCAGCTACTTCCGTATGTCAGCCGAAGTACCAGGCTTTAGAAACTTTATTAGAATTTGTGCCGAGTACAGCATGGAGGCCGGGCTGTGACTGCGCCCGTCCTTGTCCTCCTCAAACCTCCCTCCCTCCCTTCCTCCCTCCCGGCAGAGCCGCTCCACCCAGGCCTGAGGCAGGAGCCCCGCACCTGAGCCCAGGCCAGGAGCTGGGGGCGGGAACAGGCCAGGGGCAGGGGGCGGGGCGGGGCGGGGCCAGGGGCGGGGCCTGGACAGGAGCTGGGGCGGGGCCAGGGCAGGGGCAGAGGGCAGGGGCCGGGCCAGGAGGCGGGGCCAGGCCCGGGGGCGGGGCCCGGAGCGGGCTGGAGGGGGGGCTCGCCACTGCCCTTGTGCTGAGGGACGGCTCCCCTGGGCCGGTGGGGAGGCTCCTGGGGGTGTCTGTGGCCCTTCCTCATCCCGCTAGGCAGGGCCCGGTGGGGGGCAGGGCCCTCCCGCCCGAGGCTTGATCTGCAAACCCCAAAGAAGCACACGGAGCCGAAGGCTTTCCTTGGCTCGATTTCTCGAAAAAACAAACAGGGAACAGGAGAGTCACTGCACCAGCACCCTCCGCCTCCAACCAGTAAAAACAGAAACCGAAACGGCCCCACCCACACTCCCACCCACACAACCTGTCTCTTTGGCAACAACACCTGCAGTCCTCGGCGGCTCCCTGGCGGAACAGCAGGTACCAAGGCAGCCCGTGCCGCCGCCCTCCCCTGCACCGGTCCCCTCCGCCGGCGGGGCCCCGGCCCTGGGGCACCCCACCGTCTTCTGGCAGCTGGCGGGCGGGCCGTGCCCTCAGAGGGTGCTGCGCACAGCGGCAGTGGAGGGCACCCCTGGAGCTGGGCCCAGGCAGGGGCGGGGCCTGAAGTTCCCCATCTTTCAAGCTGAGCCCCGGGCTCCAGCAGGGGGACCCCGAGGCGGTGTGGGCCCGGACCCTGCAGGGAGGGAGAGCCAGGGGTCCAGCCGAGTCGGCGAAGGGGAATCACAGCCAGACTGTGAGGGCGGCGGCCCAAGCCCGGCCCCTCTGCACTGAGCTCGCCCAGAGGCCAGCAGAGGGGGCCGAGGGACAGGGAGAGGCCGTCCCAGCGGCAGTGCCGTCCCTCGCCTGGCGTGGGGCCCAGCACCCTGCATCGCCCTTCAGGGGTCAGTGGGCAGCGCGTGGTCCCCTGCCCTCCGAGACCAAGCAGTCCGACCACGGCGGCAGGACAGGGGCGGGGGCTGTGGGGCTTCCCGGGGGCAGCGCTGGCTGGCACGCGCGGCCGCCCCGTCAGGGTGCTGCGGGCAGAGGTGCAGGAAGCTGCTGCCGACCATCGCCGGTCCCCGCGTGGTCCGTCCCCGCTCTGCCCGTCCCCTGGGCCCAGAGCGGGACCAGCAGGGCTCATGCTTCCTCACAGCTGACCCCGGCACCTCCTGCAGGGCCTGGTGAACGGGACCGAGGTCAGAGAGGTCTGAGGACCCCCACGTCCCCTCCTGGCCTGGGCCACCACTGCCTGCCCCCTAGTGGGCGCCACACCCATTTCTCCACTGACCCACCAGCACCAGCACCTGGTGGGCGAGGCTGCCGCAGGTTTGGGACTAAGGGCAGCAGAGGGCAGGGCAGGGCACTCAGTGTCCAGCCTGTCCCTTCGGAAAAGCGAGAAGAGAGTGAGGCCCGAGGACCAGGCAGCCTTCAGGCTCAGGCCAGAGGACAGGGAGGCGAGGCCTGCCAAGGGGCCAAGACAGACACACCGCGACCCGGCCGGCCCTCGGAGCCTCAGTTTCCCGCCTGAACAGTGAGCTGGCACCCTCGGGTGCCCCTCCTGATCGCCACTTCACTGTCCCGGCCCCGCCGGCCCCGCGGCAGCCTCACCTCCCACGGAGCCGGCGTCCGAGTCCGTGATGTGCGTGATGGAGAAGCGGGAGGCGGGCGCGGGCGTGGGCGAGACCGTGGGTGAGACGGTGAAGCGCGAGGAGGGGCCGGGCGCCGCCGGCTTGGGGGGGGCGGCGGGGACGGCCGGGGCGGGCTCCCTGACCGGCATCAGCAGGAAGCCGCCATCCCAGGGGAGCGCCCCGCCTGCAAGACACCGTGGTCACTGACGTCACTGCCAGTGACATCACAGGCCTTGCCCCGCCATGACACCCCACCCACCCATGACGTAGCAGGACCCTGGCCCTGCCCCTCAGACCACGCCCTCTACACTGCACCATCCCCATAGGCCCGCCCTCAGACCACGCCCACTACACTGCACCATCCCCATAGGCCCGCCCTCAGACCACGCCCTCTACACTGCACCATCCCCATAGGCCCGCCCTCAGACCACGCCCACTACACTGCACCATCCCCATAGGCCCGCCCTCAGACCACGCCCACTACACTGCACCATCCCCATAGGCCCGCCCTCAGACCACGCCCTCTACACTGCACCATCCCCATAGGCCCACCCTCAGACCACACCCACTACACAAGGCCCCTCCCCTCCCCTCCTGCGCCTGCAGGCCCCACCCCAGCTCACCCTCCGGGCCAGTCAAGGGGATGGGGGAGCCTTCAGGGGGCCGCAGCCGGCTGGGGGCGCTGGGACTACCGGGCAGGAAGGCAGCAGGCGACTCCTTGGCTCCGGGGAAGGGCTCCCCGAGCTCCCGGGTGGGGCTTTCCTGCGGGGTCAGGGCAGCGGGTGATGTGGGCCGCCACTCCTGCTTCCCGCCCACCGCGGCCCGGCCTCCACCCCCGCGCAGCCCCGGCCTCCCCTCTTGCAGAGCCCCCCCTCCTGCAGAGCCCCGCCCCCCCTGCAGAGCCCCCCCTCCTGCAGAGCCCCGCCCCCCCTGCAGAGCCCCCCTCCTGCAGAGCCCCGCCCCCTCCTGCAGAGCCCCGCCCCCTGAGAGCCCCGCCCCCTGCGGAGCCCCGCCCCCTCCTGCAGAGCCCCGGCCCGGCCCCACGCCCAGCAGCCCCCCACCTGGTCGAAGAGGTGGACGGTGACGGCGTCGAAGAAGGACACGGCCTTCCTCTTGGGCTCCAGGTCCGGGCGGAAGGCGGCGGGCAGCAGGCCGGGCATCTTGAGCAGGCTGCGCAGGCGGCGCGCGCTCTGGCTCTCGCCCACCACCACCGGCACGGGCGCCTCGTCCTCGCTCTCCTCGCTCGGCTCCTGGACGCTGTAGCCGCCGAGCTCGTCCGACCCGTCGCTGTCCTCGCTGTCCTCGTCCTCGTCCTCCGGCAGGCCCTCCGCCCGGGCCGGGCAGAGCGGGGCTCCGGGGGCGCCCCCTGTCCTTGCCGGCAGGGCGGGCGGCGGGCCGCGGGCCGCGGGAGGCTCGGGGCGGGGGCTCTCGGAGCCCCGCGGGACCGGGGTCAGAAGGAAGACCTTGGGACGCCCAGGACCGGGCCCTGGCGGCACCTGGGCTGGGCCTTGGGGCCGGGGCACCTCCTGCCTGGGGCCAGGGGAGGGGTCCCCCCAAAGTGGCAGTGGGGACCCCGCTCTGGGGCCAGGACTCTGTGCCTCCCCGGGCACCCAGGGCTCCGACGGCTGTGCTGGCCGCGGCCCCAGGCTCTGGGCGTGCCCCAGGCCCGGCTCTGGCCCCTTCTCCGGCCCCGCTGGGGGCTCGGGCTCCGTGTCCAGGTCCGAGAAGTAGGCCGAGTCGCGGTAGGGGGTCTTCTCGCTGAGGGAGGCCGGCAGCGCCGTGTCCGTGTCCGGCCCGGGGCCCTCCCCCTCGGGGGCCGGCCGCCCCGGGGCCTCGGGCGCCCCTGGCTCGGGCGCCTCCTTGGGCACGAACTCGGGGGACTCGTAGTTCTCGGTGTCGTAGCCGCTGTCCAGGGCCCGGGGCTGCCCCCCGGCGCCGCCCTCGGCTGGCGGGCTGCACGCCTCGCAGCCGCCGCCGCTGGCCGAGCTCGGGATGTCCGGCGGGTCCGGCGAGGGGGGCGCCTCCTGCCTCTGCAGGGAGCGGGGGGCCGGCGCCGAGCCCAGCCCCTCGGCCGGGGGGCCGGCGCTGGACACGCCGGTGAACACGCCGGACGTGGCCTCGGTGGTGTCCCCGTCCTCGCTGCCCGGCGCCTCCCGCTCCAGGGAGCCGCTGCCTCCGTCCCACGTGGGGGCCGGCTCCGGGGCCGCGGCCTGGCCGCCGGGGGGCGCGGGGGAGGCGGGCGGGGCCGTGGGGGCACGGGCCTCCTCCGCGGGAAGCAGGGCTCCCTCCAGGGAAGGGGTCGGGGCAGACGGAAGGGGTATTTGGGGTGCCGCAGGGCCCTCGGCCTCCTCTGCGCTCCTGGGCTCTGTCGGGGGGCTGGGCCCCCCCCTCTCTGCTGCCTCTGTCCAGGGGTGTGTGGCCAGGCTCCCGGCAGGTGCCAGGCCCTCGGCAGGACACGGACAGGGGAGGTCCCGGCCCAGGCAGGCCCCCTCTGGCCCCGGGACAGGCGCTCTGGAGGTCTCGGGGGCCAGGGGGTGGCCCAGCGCAGGGACGGCCTGGAGGGCACGCTCCCTGCCCGGACAGCCATCCACGCGGCTGCCCTCCGTGCGGCTCCCCGGGCAGCCCGGGACCCGGGGCGCGGGGGCCCGCCTGCTGCTGGGCAGCCGGGGTCCTGCCGTCCCAGAGGTGCAGGCGCCCAGCGGGTCCCCAAACACAGCACCCTCCGCCGCGGCCTTCGCCGGCATCGGGGCCCCGGGCGAGGGCGAGGGGCAGGGCGGGCCGCGCGTGGGGCTCCGGTCGGGGCGGAGGTCAGGGCGGCCCCGGGGGCCGGCAGCGGGAAGCGTCTGGCCCAGCGGCGGCTCCGTGGCCGGCGAGGCGGCCGCGCCGTCGGAATCCTCGCGCTCTGGGCCCGGGGAGCGCGGGGCGCAGCCGGCGCAGTCGGGGTCGTGGCCGGCGGCGGGCGCGGGCCCCTCCAGGCGAATGAAGTACTCGCTGCCCACGGAGGGGCTGTGCGCGCTCAGAACCGGCACCACGCCCGGCGGCGCGCCCCCTGGCGGCGAGCAGGCGGCGGCGCGGGGCTCCCGCAGGCGGCCGGGGCGGGCCGGGCTCAGCGCGCCCCCTGGCGGCGAGCAGGCGGCGGCGCCGCCGCGGCCCGCCTCCCACGTGCACTCGAAGCTGAGGCCGCCGCGGGTCTGGGTCACGGTGAGCACGTCCTCGCCCTCGGCGCGGAAGCCGTCGCCCGAGAACCGCTCCAGCAGCGGGAAGGACGAGGCCGAGGCCCGCTCGCCGCCCAGCGCCAGGCCCCCCGCGCCCGGCCCGCCCCCGCGGGGCCGCAGGGAGCGCCAGCGCCGCTCGAACTCCTCCTCCTCCTCGGCCTCCGCGGCGCCGCGGGCGCTCAGGCAGCTCAGCAGCAGGTGCACCTCCTCGGCCGTGGGCCGCTGCTCGGGCTGCAGCCAGCAGAGCTGCATCACCTCGTACCTGCGGGGAGGGGGCGCTCAGCCCTGCCTGCCCCGCCCCCAGCAGTGAGCCCCCGCCTCGGGGTCAGGTCCGGGGTCCCCTCCTCACACTGGGAGCAGGTGAAGGACCCCCCCCCCCCCCGTTTCAGTGGAACAGCAATGGGCAGGGACCCTCCTGCGGGCGGCTGTGCCTTGGGTAGACGGGGGAGGGCCCGGGGGGGGGGCCGAGGTCCCTGCGGCAGAGGGCAGCTGGGGGAGCGGGAAGCCCAGGGGGCAGGAGCTGCACCCCGAGTGCCCGCCTCCCGCCGGGCCCCTCCCGGCCGCCGAGCTCACCAGCGGTCGCACAGCGGCAGCGGCAGCCGGGGCTTGGGCAGCTTGAGCTGCTGCTCGCGGACGGCGAAGGCCAGCACCTCCCGGTCCGAGTGCTGCGGGTAGGGCTGCGCGCCCAGCTCCAGCAGCTCCCACAGGGTCACGCCCAGGGCCCTGCGGGGACGGCCGTCAGCGGGCGCTGCGCGGGGCAGCCCGTCCTCCGGGGCGCCCGGGCCCTCGGGGGCTCTCCCCCAGCGAGCGGCAGGGCCCAGGGCCAGGCCCACGCCCGGGCCAGCCTCGCCCTGAACGAGCCCAATCCACCATGTGTTCGTTCGTTCTTTCATTCATTCATTCATTCATTCATTCATTCATTCATTCATTCATTCTCTTTCCACGCCCAAGACCAGACACTGCCCGCCGGCAGCTGCCCTGGCAGAGCTCCGCCTGCCGGCCACGGCAGATGCTAAACGGAGGGACGGACGGCCCCGGGCGGAGAGAGGGCGTCTCAGGACGCCTGGTCAGCACGGGGTGGGGGCGGGACCCTGGGAGGAGGCCACGGGGTTCCCCCTGGGGCAGCGGCTTCGCCAGCTCCGGGGGACAGGCTGCCCCGAGGCTGAGGGACAAAGCACATTTGGCAACAGAGAAGCCACGGCCTTGGCCACGGCCACCGCCCGGGACAGCGGTGTGCACTCCGGCTGCAGCGCCGTGGCCTCCCCTGGGCCAAGGGGGCAGTGCTCCCCGCAGGCCTCCGAGCGGCCGGCACAGGGACCACACGGGGGGCTCGGTCCTGCTCCTCCCCAGACACCACGCCAGGCAGAGCAGCCGAGTCTGCCGGGGGCTCACCACACGTTGCTGGCCTTGGTCTGGTCCACCACCAGCAGGTTGCCATGCACCTCGTCCACCAGCTCCGGGGCGATCCAGCGCAGAGGCACCCACAGCTGGTCCGCCGTCACAAAGTAGTCCTCCTGCTGAGGCAGCACCCCCTCAGGCGCCGGCCCCCAGCCCCCAGCCCTGGCCCCACCCCGAGGCCCCCCAGCCTCAGGGCCCCCCCGCGGCCCCCCACAGCCCCGGGCCCCACCCCGAGGCCCCCCAGCCCCGGGCCCCACCCCGAGGCCCCCCCAGCTCCCAAGTCCCCCACAGCTCCTGAGGCCCCCCAGCCCCCGGGCTTCACCCCAAAGCCCCCCCCAGCCCCAGGCCTCACCCCGAGGACCCCCAGCCCCGGGCCCCACCCCGAGGCCCCCCCAGTCCCAGGCCCCACCCCGAGGACCCCCAGCCCCAGGCCTCACCCCAAGGCCCCCAGCCCCCGGCGGCCCCACCCGCAGTCCCCCCAGCCCCGGGCCCCACCCGCGGTCCCCCCAGCCCCAGGCCCCGCGGCTCACTCGGTATTTGCCGTGGGACAGGCCGTAGTCTCCGATCTTCACCGTCAGGTCGGCGGTGAGCAGGCAGTTCCTCAGGGCCAGGTCACTGGGGGGGAGGGCGGGGTCAGCGGCCGGGCCCAGGGGGGCTGCCAGGCCCCCTGTGGGCTGCGCCCGGATCTGCCCGGATCTGCTCCGTGACAGGCAGGGAGGGTGTCCAATAGGCAGCGCCGTCCCTGCCCGGAGCCCGCCCTCCCGGCACCGGGCACTCTGGTCCACAGGGACCTGGCCACGAGCGCTGCCATGGGGACGAGGACCACGCGGTCCCGGAGACAGCAGGCCGGGCCCAGTGTCTCTCCCCTTACCTCCTCCTGCACCCCCACTTCTTCGGGGTCACCAGCCTGCTGGCCCTGCCATCCCTCGTCTCTTGGGGGCCAGCCAGCCGGGACTCTCTGTGGTCTGTCCTCCCGCCCACCAGCCGTGGCCGTGGCCGTGGCCTCAGCTCGTCCCTGGGGAGGCTGAGTCCTAGGGTCCCGGGCCCAGCTCTGCCCACACAGCTGGGGCGGGCGGGGTGGGGGCGGGGGGCCTGCGCCCGGCAACGGGGTCCCCAGCCCAGCAGCCGCCTGGGCTGCGCGCCCCCTGCCTGCCTGCCTGCCTGCCTGCCTGCCAGCAGGGTGGGAGTCTGGGCGCAGGGCCACGTCCGGGGCCACGCCGGGGCATGAGGGCGGGGCACGGCAGGCGGGGCTGGCAGCTGCCCTCTTCAACAAAATCACTGATGCTGGAGTCGGGAGTCAGCACTCAGCACCAGGATCTTGTTGGGGAGGACGGCCCGTCTCTTCCGGCCGCGTCATCGCCACGTCCCCTGGCGGGGCACCGCCCGTCTGTGCCCCTCGGGCCCGAGCCTCCCTCCCCGCCTGAGGGCGACGGGAGGGGGCAGGGGGCACCGCCCGCCTCTGGGGCAGAGGACAAGCACCTCAGCTGCCCCGCTGGGCAGGGGTCTGCCCACCCCGTGCTTTCTGCCCAGTGGTCCACGGACACTGCCCTCCCCTGGGCCCTGCGAGCTCTGGGGAGCGGCCCTGCCCCGTTCCCGCCCTCCCCTGTGCCCGCCCCTCCCTGTGCCCCTCCCCTGTGCCCCACCCCTCCCTGAGCCCCTCCCCTGTGCCCGCCCCTCCCTGTGCCCCTCCCCTGTGCCCCCCTCCCTGTGCCCCTCCCCTGTGCCCGCCCCTCCCTGTGCCCCTCCCCTGTGCCCCCCTCCCTGTGCCCCTCCCCTGTGCCCCCCTCCCTGTGCCCCCCTCCCTGTGCCCCTCCCCTGTGCCCGCCCCCCTCCCTGTGCCCCCCTCCCTGTGCCCCTCCCCTGTGCCCCCCTCCCTGTGCCCCCCTCCCTGTGCCCCCCTCCCTGTGCCCCCCTCCCTGTGCCCGCCCCTCCCTGTGCCCCTCCCCTGTGCCCGCCCCTCCCCGTGCCCCCTCGCCGTGCCCCTCACCTGTGCACGTAGCTGCCGCGGTGCAGGTGCCGCAGGCCGCAGGCCACCTCGCAGGCCAGGCGCTGCAGCGTCAGCGGGTCGGGCGCCAGGGGCTCCGCCGCCCGGCAGCTCCGCAGGTAGCCCTTGAGGTCGCCCTGCGAGAGGGGCCGTCACCGCGTCACCGCGGGGGAGTGAGCCCGTGCAGCCCCCTCCCCCCAGCCTGTGCACCCCCTCCCCCCCAGCCCGTGCACCCCCCCCAGCCCGTGCACCCCACCCCGTGCAGCCCCCTCCCCCCCAGCCCGTGCACCCCCCCCAGCCCGTGCACCCCACCCTGTGCAGCCCCCTCCCCCCCAGCCCGTGCACCCCCCCCAGCCCGTGCACCCCACCCCGTGCAGCCCCCTCCCCCCCAGCCCGTGCACCCCCCAGCCCATGCACCCCCCTCCCCCCCAGCCCGTGCATTCCCCCTCACAGCCCATGCACACCCCCCTGTGCCCAGTCCCCCCCAGCCCGTGCACCCCCCTCCCCCCCAGCCCGTGCACCCCTCTCCCCCCCAGCCCGTGCAGCCCCCTCCCCCCAGCCCGTGCACCCCCTCCCCCCCAGCCCGTGCAGCCCCCTCCCCCCCAGCCCGTGCAGCCCCCTCCCCCCCAGCCTGTGCACCCCCAGCCCGTGCACCCCCATAGCACATGCACACCCTCCCCCCAACAGCCCGTGCAGCCCCCTCCTCCCCAGCCCGTGCACCCCCCTTCCCCCCGAGCCCGTGCACCCCCCTCCCCCCCAGCCTGTGCACCCCCAGCCCGTGCACCCCCCTCCCCCCCAGCCCGTGCACCCCCCGCAGCCCGTGCACCCCCCTCCCCCCCAGCCCGTGCACCCCCCAGCCCGTGCACCCCCAGCCCGTGCACCCCCCTCCCCCCCAGCCCGTGCACCCCCAGCCCGTGCACCCCCCTCCCGCCCAGCCCGTGCACCCCCCTCCCCCCCAGCCCGTGCACCCCCTCCCTCCCGCAGCCCGGGGGCCCGAGGCCACGCTGAGCTCAGACACTGGAGCCGCTGGTGGGCGGCGGCCAGGCCCCGGGGCGGGATGTGGCCCCGCCCGGGTGACTGACCTCGGCACCTGCGGGGCCTCGCTGCCCCCGGGCAGGGCTGCGGCCAGAGCCCAGAGGGCAGAGGGCGGGGCTGTGTGCCTCCAGCCTGTGTCTGACAGGAGGGGGCCCTGCGGGGAGGGGGGCCTGGGGAGGGGCTTGGGGGAGAGGCCTGGGCACAGATCCTGGTCGCCTCTGGGGGTGGGGCAGCCCCTTGCTTTAGGGGAGAGGGGTCCCCAGCTCCTGTCTGCAGGGATACAGCCACCCTCCTTCCAGAGAGGAGCGGGGGAGGCAGGCGGGGCGGGAGGGGCGGGGGCGGCCGGGGGCAGGGGTGGGGGGCAGGGGGGCACTCACCATGGGGCAGAACTCCATCACCAGCAGGTAGGGCGTCACCTCGGTGCACTGGGCCAGGCACTGGAGCAGGTTGCTGTGCTGCAGGGCCCTGTGGAGCCACAGGCTGACCGGGCTCCCAGGGGCAGCGGGCGGGGATGGGGACGGGAGCGGGAGGAGCAGGACAGGGCAGGGAGGGGAGGAGGGGCAGAGCACAGAGCTTCCTTGCGTGACAGGGTCCCGGCGCCCAGCGCAGCCCCCGCCTCCAGCCCGGCGGCCGGCCTCACCCACCGGTAGGGCCGCGCCTCCTCCAGGAAGTGCCTCTGCTCCTGCGCGCCCGCGCTGGCCTCCAGCTCCTTCACCACCACCTGGGCGCTGCTCAGCCCCGAGTGCGCCTCCCCCAGCAGCACCTGCAGCGGAGTCACCCTGCGGCCCCGCCCTGTGCACGGCCCCCTGCCCGCCCGCCCCCTGTGCACGGCCCCCTGCCCGCCCGCCCGCCTGTGCAGGGCACCCCTGCCCGCCCGCCCGGCTGTGCAGGGCACCCCTGCCCGCCCGCCCCCCTGTGCATGGGGCAACGCCCGCCTGTGCAGGGCACCCCTTGCCCGCCCGCCCGCCTGTGCAGGGCACCCCCTGCCCGCCCGCCCCCTGTGCGCAGGCACCCCCCGCCCGCCCGCCTGTGCACGGGGCACCCCCTGCCCACCTGCCCGCCTGTGCATGGGCACCCCCTGCCCACCCGCCCACCTGTGCACGGGGCACCCCCTGCCCGCCCGCCCCCCTGTGCACGGGCACCCCCGCCCGCCCGCCCGGCTGGGGTCAGGGAGAGGCTGGCTCTGGGCACCTCCCTCCCGGGGGGTACACGCCTCCCAGGCTGCAGACCCAGCTCCCCAGGAGGGGGCCAGCGGGGGGCACCTGGAGAGAGGGGACCCCAGGACTGGGCAGCTCCCAGGAAAAGCAGCCTCCACCTGCCCCTGCCCGCCCCCCGCCCGCCCGCCTGCAATGCGGACCCCTCCCCGCCCGCCCGCCTCACCTTCCCGAACCAGCCGCGGCCGATCTCCTCCAGGTACAGCAGGCTGTGCCGGCCCAGGGCCGAGGACTGGCGCAGCTGCACTGTAACCGGGGCGAGGCTCAGGGACCTGTTCCGCCGCCGCCGTCCCCCTCGCCTCGCCTCCCGGGGGCTGCCCTGCGGCGGGTTCCGGGGGCCCCTGGGGCCGCGCCGGGGAGCGGGGGCCCGCAGGGGGCCCTGCAGGCTGTGCCCGGCCTCGGGGCGCCCAGGGGCACGGCGGTGCCTGGAGCGGCCGGGCCCTCGGGAAGGAGGACAGGGCCGGCGCCCAAAGGCCCTGGCATTCCAGCGCCCAAAGGCCCTTTGTTGGGCGGCTTGGCAGGGGCAGCGGGGACACAGGGCCCATTCTCCGCGGGCCAGCTGGTGAGCCGGGGGCGGGGGGCGGGCCGGGGATTCCCCGAATTCTGCTCCCACGCCGGCCCGAGGGCCGGGCACGCTGACCTCGATGGCTCTGAGTCCCGGGCTCCGCCCGCACGGCTGCTGCCCTCTGCCCGGTCTCCCCAGGAGGAGCGCGCCCCGCCCAGGAGGCGCTGGTTCCGGAAGGCCTGGGGGTGCCCGGCGCCTGGCCGTTTGGGCCGTGGGGTTCCCGGTCGCTGACGCAGGGGGACGGGGAGTTGGGGGGCCTCTCCCGGACCTGCCCTCACCGCGGCCCGGAGCCGCCAGGCCAGGCGCCTGAGCAATAACCCTGCGTCTGCACCGCGTTTCCAGAGAGCAAAGGGCGTCCGGCCCCGAGGGGACCACAGGCCCGCGGCCCCGAGGGGCGCGGAGGGAGGGGGTCCGGGAGCTCCCGGGCGGGGGGGCCCCAGCGTGGCATCGCTATGGCGACGGCAGGAAACACTGGGCCTCAAAGCTTCTCAGAGTCAGGCACAGTCCCGGGGTGACAGGCCGAGGCCGGGCGTGGCCCGGGGGGCCCTGGCTCCCCAGCCGCCCAGCTGCAGGCTCGGCGACCGCGGTCATCGGGGGGCTGGGCCGACCACGGGTGTGTGAGGTGGCCCTTTGCACGGCGCCCCGTCCCTGCCCGCCTGGGGCGGGAGGCTGGGGTGCAGGGGCCCTCTGGGCCGGCCTGGGGCTGGCAACTCCTCTGCTCTAGGGTCAGACCAGGGCCACGGCGAAGGCAGGCCCAGGGGCAGCGTCTGGTGAGGACCCCGTGGGGCCGGGGACAGAAGTGGGGGGAGCCGGCCCCCGCCCCGCGCCCCAGTGAAGGCCGTTCACGGCCCCCAGAGGAGCGCCCACGTGGCCGCTGGCCCTGGACGCTCACCCGAGCCCCTCCCCGGCCCCGCCCCAGCACAGCAGCCCAGGGGGCTGTTCCGCAGCCCGCTCTCCGCGCCCAGGCCCCCCTCCCCTCCCCAGGACCCCAAGCCTCCTCCCGGGGCACCGCCTGCCCCCCTCCCGCCGCTCGCTCACCTGACCGGCCCGGCTGCTTGGCCATGGGCAGCGAGACCTCGGTGAGCGGCAGCACGTACACGTCGGGGCCGTCCTGGGCCGGGGAGCCCTGTGCCGAGAAGCCGGCGGCCAGCTCCTCCCCCTCAGCATTCTCAAACTCCTGGGGGACGAGGGGGGCCAGGGCCAGGCTCTGAAAAGCCTCTTCCCAGCCGAGCCCCCACCTCCCTGAGCTGGGGTGAAGCCCCCCCGCGGGCACCCCTCACCCATCTCCTGGCTCCTGGGCACAGACCCACAGCCCTCCGCCCGCACCAGCTGCCCAGGAGGCTGGTGCCTCTGTGCCGGTCAACGGGGGCCTTGAGCCCCGTCACCCATGCTGCCCGGGGACGAGCCCCCCAAACGCCCGCCCCGCCTCCAGACAGCCTCCTGCCTTAGCGGGCAGGGACCCCGCCAGCTCCCCGGCCCCGGCCCGCACCGCCTCCTACCCTGCCCGCCGGCGGCCACCGACCTTCAGCCGCTCCCGCCTCCCAGGAGCCGGGCGAGGGCAGCCCCACCTGCTTGGCTGGGGTTCGAAGGCGCCACCACACCTGTCTGTCTGGGGACACGCCCTCCCCCCCCCCAACGGGGGCCGGGGCGCAGCCTGAAGGCAAAGTCTGCCTGCGACAGCCCTGCTGCCGGAACGAAGCTGAGCGGTGGGTGTGGGCTCCCCGCCCGCCCGCCCGCCCGCCCGCCGGGTGCTGGGTGACCCCCTTGCTCGGGGCCTCGACTTCCCCAGCGGCGAGAGGGAGGCAGGAGCCTGCGTCCCCACAGGCCGTCCGGTCCGCGCCCGTGGACAGAGCCCTGAGGCCCTGGGATCCCCGCTGCCCGACTGAGCGGGCACAGCCGCCCCGCCCCGCCCGGGCCGGCCAGGCCCAGCCCTTTACCTGCCGGGGCCGCCCCGCGGCCCCCCGGACGGCGCCGGCCCCGCGGGCGAGCAGGTAGGGCAGCGTGAGCATCCTGCCCGGCCCGGCCCAGCGCCCCGCAGGCCTCGAGCGGGCAGCCCGCCCCCCGAGCGCGGGCGCCGGAACGTCGGGGCGCCATGAGGGGGCGCCCGGACGGGGGCACAGCGGCCCTGGCGCGGGCCGGTTCGCACAGCGCACCAGGAGGGGTGACTTATACGGTGCCCTCCAGGCCCGCCCCGGCCCGCCCCCCGGGGTCTCCAGGAACCGCTGCCTGGCAGGTCGGGCCGGGAGGGCGGAGGGCAAACTGCCCGCTGCCCGCTGTGGGCGCGTGACAGCGAGTCCTTGTTCATTGTCCTCACAGGGCAGCGCCCACACCCATGAGGTGACACGGGGGGGAGGGGGACACGCTGTTCCTCTAGAACGTGGGGGTGGGCACTGGCATGGAGACCCACGGGGGCTGTGCTGGGCCACCCCCCCCCCCCGGGACCTCCCGGCCCGGAATCTGACCCTCGGCCGGGGCGGAGCCGTGGGCAGCTGCTGGGTCAGCGGGAACCGGCCCGCAGGCCGCTGGCTGGGACCCTACTCCCAGCTCAGAGCTGCTGGGGGGGGGGGGGGCGCTGTGGGCAGCCATGGGCTTGCGAGCTGGGGGACTGCACCCCAAGGGGCGCCCTCGGCCACCGCTCTTAGGAGGCTCAGCCCAGGGGCTGCTGGGAACTGGTCCTGCAGGGCCCGGGAGAGGCGGTCACACTGGCCCTGATGCTGGCCCTGACAACGGCTGCCGCCCTTTCCTGAGCCCAGTGCCGGGGACCCTGCTCCCGCCGCCCTGGGGCAGACGCCCCCTCCCAGCCAGCCCGGAGCCCCGGACCCCAGGCCCCTCCCCGCCAGCCCGGAGCCCCAGGGACGTCCCCTCCCAGCCAGCCTGGAGCCCTGGACCCCAGGCCCCCTCCCTGCCAGCCCGGAGCCCCCGGACCCCAGGCCCCCTCCCAGCCAGCCCGGAGCCCCGGACCCCAGGCCCCTCCCCGTCCAGAGGGCCGTGCACAGCCCTGGCCTGGCCTGGGCAGGGCAGCCTGAGGCCGGATCTGGGAGGCCCGGGGGGAGGGGGCCTGACACGGAGCCACAGCCGGGCCCGGCCTCACCTTGAAGCCGATGCCGCCCTTCTTACAGCACAGGCAGGCCAGCATGAGGGCGACGACGCTGAGCAGCCCGGACAGGGCCACGGCCGCCACGGCCAGGGAGGACGGCCAGGAGAGCTCGCCGAGCGGGGCGCCGCCTGCAAGGGAGGGGGTCAGGCGGCCTCTGCACCGCCCCGGCCCCCACTGCCCCAGCCCCACACCCCACCGCCCTCCAATACCCCCCCCCGGCCTCACTGCCCCAGCCCCACTCCCCACCGCCCTCCAATACCCCCGGCCCCACTGCCCCAGCTCCCAATACCCCCCCGGCCCCCACTTTCCCCCCTGCCCCACTGCCCCAGCCCCACTCCCCACCGCCCCTCCAATACCCCCCTGGCCCCACTGCCCCAGCCCCACTCCCCACCGCCCCTCCAATACCCCCCCGGCCCCACTGCCCCAGCCCCACTCCCCACCGCCCTCCAATACCCCCCCGGCCCCACTGCCCCAGCCCCACTCCCTACCGCCCTCCAATACCCCCCCGGCCCCACTGCCCCAGCCCCACTCCCTACCGCCCTCCAATACCCCCCCGGCCCCACTGCCCCAGCTCCCAATACCCCCCCAGCCCCCACTTTCCCCCCGGCCCCACTGCCCCAGCCCCACTCCCCACGGCCCCTCCAATACCCCCCAGCCCCCACTTTCCCCCCGGCCCCACTCCCCACCGCCCTCCAATACCCCCCCGGCCCCACTGCCCCAGCCCCACTCCCCACCGCCCTCCAATACCCCCCCGGCCCCACTGCCCCAGCCCCACTCCCTACCGCCCTCCAATACCCCCCCGGCCCCACTGCCCCAGCCCCACTCCCTACCGCCCTCCAATACCCCCCCGGCCCCACTGCCCCAGCTCCCAATACCCCCCCAGCCCCCACTTTCCCCCCGGCCCCACTGCCCCAGCCCCACTCCCCACGGCCCCTCCAATACCCCCCAGCCCCCACTTTCCCCCCGGCCCCACTCCCCACCGCCCTCCAATACCCCCCCGGCCCCACTGCCCCAGCCCCACTCCCCAACGCCCCTCCAATACCCCCCGGCCCCACTGCCCCAGCCCCACTCCCCACCGCCCCTCCAATACCCCCCCGGCCCCCACTTTTCCCTCGGCCCCCACTCCCCCAGCTCCACTCCCCACCAGCCCCTCCAATATCCCCCTGGCCCCCTCTCCTCCCTGCTCCCCACTACCCCAGCCCCCACTCACCCCAGCTCCCCACTGGCCCCTCCAATACCTCCCCGGCCCCCACTGCCCCAGCTCCCCACCGGCCCCTCCAGTACCCCCGGCCCCCACTTCCTCTCCGCTCCCCACTGCCCAGCCCCCACTTCACAGTACGGCCCAGCACCACCCCTGCTCCAGCACCCCAGCGGGCACACCAGGCAGCCACGAGGGCCCGAGCCTGCAGTCCCTCCACCAGCCACTGGGGGCCACTCCGGCCTCACTGGGGCACACTTCCCCATTGAGGGGTTCGCAGACACCCCTCCCCAAGGCCAGGGTCCGGGGGCTGTGGGGGACCCGCACGTCTCTCTCAGACTCTGGCCACCCACCCCCCTCGGAGCCTTCCCGGGGGATCACTGCCAAAGCTCTCGGGGTGTCACCGGGAAAGGCTGGGATCGGGGTGTGGGGGCCCCGGTAGTGCTGGCCACGTGCCTGCTCTGGGCACTGGGGCCAGGGCTGTGGGCACCAGGCCTGTCTGGCTCTGAGGCGGGGCCGCTGTCCCCAGAAGGTGGCGCCGTGTGGGCAGGCACTTCCTGGCACCCGCAGACGGGGGGCCCCCCCGCAGCCCCTGGTCCAGGGCAGCCCCCGGGCTCGCCGCACTGGGTGGGGAAACGGGGTGCCCGGGACAGCAGACAGGCCCCCTCAGGCACGGCCCCACATCAGAGCTCCCGCTGAGCTGGGCCCCGGGGAGCCCGGCGAGGGGACCCCAGCCAGGAGGGCCAGCGCCCTGTGCGCCCCACCGCCGGCCCCTCTGCCTGGGCCCCGCTCTGCCCACGACCCCACCCCTCAGCTCCCAGCTGCCCCCAGGCCCCGGCAGGCCAGCGCGAGGAGCGAGGGCGACAGCGTAGCCGGGAGGGTGCCCCCTCCCGGCCTGGGGCTGCGGCTCCGGAGGAAACACAAATAGGGGTGCCTGTCCCCCCCGCCCGCTCCGGGCTCCTCCTGGAAGCCCCGCGGTGGCCACGCGCTGGGCGCAGCGCACGAGGCCGGGGAGCGGCGGGACGGCCGGCCGCACCGGGCCCGGCCGGAAGGGGGACCCCAGCCACGGGGGCGGGCCCAGAGCCGTCCCGATGGACGCTCAGAGGACACCCCACCGTCCGGCTCCACCGGAGCCGCAGCCCCAGCCCCGAGCGACGGCGCTGCCGGGGGAGGGCGGCGGGTGGCAGGGGCGGCGGCGGCTTTGGGGGGCGGGTGGCAGGGGCGGGCAGCAGAGGCTTTGGGGGGCGGGGGGGCGGGTGGCAGGGGCAGCGGAGGCTTTGGGGGGCGGGGGGGCGGGTGGCAGGGGCAGCGGAGGCTTTGGGGGGCGGGGGGGCGGGTGGCAGGGGCGGCGGCTTTGGGGGGCGGGGGGGCGGGTGGCAGGGGCAGCGGAGGCTTTGGGGGGCGGGGGGGCGGGTGGCAGGGGCGGCGGCTTTGGGGGGCGGGGGGGCGGGTGGCAGGGGCAGCGGAGGCTTTGGGGGGGGTGGGTGGCAGGGGCGGCGGCTTTGGGGGGCGGGGGGTCGGGTGGCAGGGGTAGCGGAGGCTTTGGGGGGCGGTGGCAGGGGCGGGCGGCGGCGGCTTTGGGGGGCGGGGGGGCGGGTGGCAGGGGCGGGCAGCAGAGGCTTTGGGGGGCGGTGGCAGGGGCAGCGGAGGCTTTGGGGGGCGGGTGGCAGGGGTGGGCAGCGGAGGCTTTGGGGGGCGGGGAGGGCGGGTACTCAGCCTCTCCAGCCTCATCCCTGCGCCTCCGGTCCGGTCTCCTGGCCCAGCCACAGCCCGCGGCCTGCAGAGCCGTGAGCCTTCGCCGAGGGCGGGAGGGGGTGCGACACAGCGGCCGGCGGGGAAGCGCGGGGAGGGCCACGTGACGCCACGCGAGGCGCCCAGCACCGGCGGCCGGGGCACGGAGGCCGCAGCCAGGCGCGGGTGCCCGTGGTTTCCGGGTCACGGCTGGATGCCTCAGGCACAGGCCGGGTCACAGGCTCCAGCCCAGGGCAGGGCGAGCAGGAGGCAGCTGATCTCTCTCATCACTGATGTTTCTCTCTCTCCCTCTCTCTTCCTCTCTGGAATCAATAATGATATCTACACTAATAAAAGAGAAACATGCAAATTACCATCACTCCGCTATCTACCAGCCAATCAGAGTGTGTATGCAAATTAACCTGGAAACCATGGCGGCAGCCCCGCCCCCTGTGGCTCTGGCCTGTGGGGCTGGAGGAGTCGGCCCCAGCGTCTCAGGCCGGGAGCAGCCCAGGCGAAGCCACCTGCCCAGCAGCCCCTGCGGCTGCAGCTGGCCCTGGGCACCGTGGCTGCCTGTGGTCGCTGGAGGCGGGAATCTGGGTCCCGGTTCGGGGCCAGGCAGAGGTGATCAGGAGCAATCAAACCAACAGGCAGAAGCAGTTAAGGGCAATCAAGCAGGCAGGCAGGCGAGCGGTGAGGAGCCAGCAGGTGGATTGTCAGGCGAGGGTCCCAGAGGGGAGAGGGTGCCGGCCGGCGGAGGGACCAGGCCCCGGTGTTTAAACAAATAAACAAGTGCTGTCACGTCAGACCGCCTCGAGGCTCTCGGATTTCACAGGACGCCCTTCCTGCAGGTCAGGGCAGCCCTTGGCCAGGCCCCGTCCACACCAGTTCACCCCACACAGCCTGCCCACCGCCCCCAGGCCCAGTGGCCCCCCGTGCAGGGCCCAGTGCCCCCCGTGCAGGGCCCAGTGCCCCCCGTGCAGGGCCCAGTGACCACATGCAGGGCCCAGTGCCCCCCATGCAGGGCCCAGTCCCCCCCATACAGGGCTCAGGTGCCCCCCCCATGCAGGGCCCAGTCCCCCCCATACAGGGCTCAGGTGCCCCCCCATGCAGGGCCCAGTCCCCCCCCATACAGGGCTCAGGTGCCCCCCCCATGCAGGGCCCAGTCCCCCCCATACAGGGCTCAGGTGCCCCAAGGCTGAACTGCTCACAGTGCCCCGACGGGGTCCGCACTGGCCCACCCAATCTGCACCCAGCTGACCCCCAGCTCTGCCCTCCGGGTGCCCCCTCCCAAGGCCCCTGGCCCTGGGCTGGCCACAGGCCCTGCCGGGAGGTACTCACAGGACCATGCGCTGTGCCGCCTCAGGGAGCACGGTGCCCGCCCAGCCGGCCGGGGGTCCCGCCAGAGCAGCCGCACACGGCAGGCCCACCCCGGCCCAGTCAGGGAGCCCGGCGCCCCCGCTGGGGCAGCGCAGCCTGCGGGCTCGGGGTCAGCACAGGCCTGGCCGGGCCTCAGACTCCTGGCCCCGCCCCGCCCCCCCACCGTGCCCGGTGGCGCAAACAGGATCTCCTGCAGGAAGGAACTGTGCAACCCGCTGGTGCGGAGTGAGTGCCGCGCCAGAGAGCGAGCCCAGCGCCCGCCCCGACGCCCCAGCGAGCAAGTGGCAGGATTCTGGGGGGCACGGGGAGCCAGGGGGCCCCACGCCCCCACGAGCCATCCACAGGGCAGACCCAGCGCCCGGGGCCTGTGGGGCAGTTTCTTGGCAAAGGGTTGCCCGAGGGAGGAGCAGAGTCCCCAGCAGGGCCAGGGCGCCCCCTGCCGGCAGAGACAGGGGACGGCCCGGGGCGCCTCCCAGCAGGGCCAGGCTCCGTGTCCCTCCCCCCCACCCGTCCCCTCCCCTCTCCCTGGCTGTGTGCGAGCAGGCGCCTGGCGGGGGCAGGAGCCGCCGAGGGCACATGACACACGCATGTGCTCAGACACCGGCCTCCCCCGGGCCTCCCCCGGGCCCACATCTGCAGGACGCCCCCAGTGCCCGCTGACCCCACCCTCGGCCCTGCCCTCAGCCCGTGGGGACGCCACGGAACCCAGCCAGACCCACGCCCTGCCCAGTTCCCCCAGCAGGTGAGGGGCCTGGGGCACCCGTGTGGGAGACTGCCCAGGGCCCCCACCGCAGACCCCCCAAACCTCCTCCCCCTTGCTGGGGTGCTGGGGGACGAGTCAGGGGGCTCTGGGGGGATGGGGGAGGGCACTGGGGGACGGAGGCCGCTAGGAGGGTGCTGGGGGGACGAGGCAGGGGGTGCAGGCTCAGTCCTAGGCCAGGGTTGGCCTCAGCTGCGGCAGCAAGGTGCCCGTCCGAGAGCCGGAAGGAGGGCACCTGGCCCTGCCCACTGAGCCCCCGTCCCGGGCCTGGGCTTGGGCCTGGCCCGTCCCCCCCCCCCCGGGGCCAGGAGCCGCCTCTCGGGGACCCCTGCCTCCTGCCAAAGGGTCAGGCAGCTCCCAGCGAAGGAGATGGACCCTCCGGCCACAGGCCCCCCTCCCGGCAGCAAACGCAGGCGGACGCTCCTCACCAAGTGCCCGCGCCCTGCGCCAGGGCCGCCCGGTGCCCGGTGCCCGGCTGGCCCGGAGGCAGGACGGTGGCCCCAGCAGGACCATTAAGAATTCACACTCGTTAAGAATCCGAGTTGGGCCCTCAGTTGTGTGGCTCAGTGGGTAGAGCGTCGGCCTGCAGACTGAAAGGTCCCAAGATCGATTCCGGTCAAGGGCATGCACCTTGGTTGCAGGCACATCCCCAGTAGGGGGAGTGCAGGAGGCAGCTGATCGATGCTTCTCTCTCACTGCTGTTTCTCTCTATCCCTCCCCCTTCCTCTCTGTAAAAAAAATCAATAAAAAAAATAAATTCCCAGTTGGTGGGAGCAGAGTGCAGCCCTATGGGACCCTCCCGGGGGTCCCCACCTGCGGACCCCACAAGGCCGGGGGTGACCAAAGAGCCAGGCCGCACATGGGTGAGGGCGGCTGACGGCAGAGAGGAGAGGCCCGGGCCTCCAGCCGATCCCTGAACATCATCCTCCATCACCCCCTCCGCCCAGCTGTGGTCCCGCGGTGGGGAGGGTAACCGCTTCCTGCAGGGCAGGACCTGAGGCCGCACCTCCCGCCTGGAGCAGCCCGGTCCCCTCAGGCCGTCTGGCCGGGTGCTCAGCGCCCTCCACCCCTGCCCCTGGCCCCGGCCCCGGGCCCCGCCTGGGCCACGGCAGTGACACTGTCCCCCAAGCCCAAGCCCCGGGGAGTCCGAGGAGGCCACCCAGCCGAGCCCCCACCCCTGCCGCCAGTCCCCACAGGGCAGTGCCGCCCAGGCCGTGCCCGGGGGCGCCGAGCATCACCAAGCCTGGCCCCTCGCCAGGAGGCCCGTCCCTGCCGCCGGGCCTTGTCTGCTGAATTAGCGGGTGCCCCGGCCCCATGGCCTGTGGGCGGGACTCACCCCCACCCAGGGGAGGGCTGGAGCTGGCGGGGACGGGCGCAGCCCTCGCCCACGCCGCTGCCCGCGGCTGCCAGGCCAGGCATCCCCAGTAAACACACAGCCAGGGCCACCAGCCTGGCCGGGAGGAGGCCTGGCCCAGGTCGGGCAGCTAGCTAACAGCACCCCCGCCCCCCGCAGCCTCCCGCTGCCCCGGACCCGGCACCCCTGAGGCCCTCTCTTCTGTGCCAGGGCCGGAGGGCTCTGTGCCACCGCTGTGCCACGGCGCCCACCTCCGCACACAGCGGCTCCTACCCTGGGCGGGAGCCTCCCGCCACGACCGGGCTAGGCCCCGGGGCACTCCCGCACCCCTCTGGCCCAGCCCGGTCCTGGCACCCCCCTTCGGGCACCTGGGCAAACGCAAGCCTCCTGCCCCAGTTCCCTGAGCCAGAACCAGAACCAGAACCAGAACCAGAACCAGAACTGGCCACAGAGATCAGCGAGGGGGCACCCCTGCCGCCCACCCACGGGGCCCAGCCCTGCCCAGGGCCCTCGGGCCTGGGGTCCCTGGAGCCGGTCCTTCCGGCGGCCGGCGGGGAGAGGGTTAATTCCCTGCAAAACAGGAGCAGCGGCTGCAGGGGCGGCGGGCGGGGCGGGGGCGGCGGGCACTCACCGGGGTCCAAGTGCGAGCTGAAGGCGAAGCTGGGGTTGAAGAAGGAGGACGACATGGCCCGGCGCCGGCTCCGCTCAGAGCGCCCGCCGCCCCGGCCCGGCCCGCGCCATCGCCGCCGCCGCCGGCGCCGCAGCCGCCGAGCCCGGCGCAGCCCGGCCCCGGGTGCGGGTGCGGGTGCGGGTGCGGGTGCGGGTGCGGCCCCGGGAGCGGGTGCGGGTGCGGGGTGCGCGGAGCGGGGGGAGCCGCGGCCACCGCGGGCGCCTCGGTCGGGCCGCGCGCCGGCTGGGCTGGAGCGGCCGAAAACACGCGGGAGCGCGCGGGCGGGGGAGGGGGCGGGGGCCAGGCCGCGGAGGGGCCCAGGCTCAGGGCCGGAGGGGCGTGCGGCCCGGGCACAGGGACGCGGGGCGCAGGCGGGGCGGAGGGGGAGGGGGGCCCGGGCACAGGGACGCGGGGCGCAGGAGGGGCGGAGGGGGCGTGCGGCCCGGGCACAGGGACGCGGGGCGGAGGGGGCGTGGGGCGGAGGGGAGGATGGCAGCTGGGGCGGAGCAGGCTGGGGTCTCGGAGACGCCGAGGAGCAGGGACACGCGGCGCCTCAGGGGACGTGGGCACCGGCGGCCCCGCGGCCAGAGCGTGGAGGCGCAGGTGGAGGGGACGGCGGGGCAGGGGCGCGGGGCGCACGCAGTCCGGAGGCGCGTGGGCCTTGGGGGAGGAGCCGCCCGGGACACCGGCTGGGGCAGGGCGCACCCCCCATCTGGCCCCGAGCGGCGGGGCGGGGCGGAGGGCTGGGGGTGCCTGAACCCAGGTCCCTCCCAGCTGGGAGCTGGGGTGATGCTGCCCCCCTCTCCGTCCCTCCATTCATTCCCGGCCAGGAGCCGGCACCTTGGCAGGCCGCCGGCGGGCGGGAGGGAGGCCGCCAGGCCCGGAGGACAGGGACCAAGGTCATTGGCGAGGCTCAGGGCCCGGCAGGATGGAGAGGCCGCCTGGCCCTGAGAGAGGCACCCTTCCTCCCTCAGGCATGGGGTCCTGCGGGGGTGCCCCGGCCTGCGGAGGAGGGGCCAGGGCCCCTCGCAGGGGCCGTGTGGCTGCCACCAGAGGGGCCTGGCGGGGCGGGTGCTCGGGCCCAGGCGGAAGCCCCCTCGGGCCAGGAGGAAGCCCGGCGGCACTGAGCGGCCTCAGGAAGGCCCAGCCTGCGGGCCCAGGCCTCGCTGTCGGGGGGCAGAGGGACCTGCCGTCGGAGTGGCCGCTGCCAGCTCACCCGGGACCCCCCCGCGCTGGCCTCTGCTGACTCCGGGGAGTAAGAGGTCCCTGGCGATGTGTCCCTCCCCCTGAACAGGGGCGGGCGGACACCCCAGCGCCCTCCACAGGCCCCCCAGGGCCCAGCCCTACAGCGGGGGTCAGGGCGCCACACCCGTGTCACCCGGCCCTGGGGTGCTCGCTGGAGCGGCACCTACAGGCGGTCACTGGGCCGAGACTCAGGAAAGCCCAAGGCAGGAGCAGGACGAGGCAGCACCAACTCAGAGGAGTGGACCCACACACGGAGCATCCCGTCCACGGACACGCTCCGACATGCGATTCCACGGGTATGAGGGTCTGGGCAACCCCACACGGAGAACAGATTGCCCCCGGGGCTTCCGTGGGGGGAATTAGAGGCTGTAGTTGTACAGCCAGCACTGAGCAGTGGTCAGCGCCATCCTGTGCACGAAGGCTGCCTGCCGATTGGCTCCTGGTCAGGGCGTGCGTGGGAGGCGCGGCCGGTGTCTCGCTCTCACGTCGATGTTCCTCTCCCTCTCATTCCCTCTAAGCGTCGTCTCGGATGAAGATTAATAAATAAGGAATAAAAAGGCAGCTCCAGAGTGTGAGCTTCATGGGAGGGTCAGTGACCTGCCGGACAGTGCGGGCCGAGGCCATGGTAACACCACGGGTTCTATTTACCGGTGTCTCCGGCGAGTCCCCATTGGGACCCAGGCCTGCAGCGAGCAGCTGGGCCTCGGGGGCGGCTGGGCCCGGGGGGCGGCTGGGCCACGGGGGCGGCTGGGCCTGGGGGGCGGCTGGGCCTGGGGGGCGGCTGGGCCACGGGGGCGGCTGGGCCTGGGGGGCGGCTGGGCCGGGGGGGCGGCTGGGCCACGGGGGCGGCTGGGCCTGGGGGGCGGCTGGGCCGGGGGGGCGGCTGGGCCTGGGGGGCAGCTGGGCCCCGGGGGGGGGCGGCTGGGCCACGGAGGCGGCTGGGCCACGGGGGCGGCTGGGCCACGGGGACGGCTGGGCCCGGGGTTCGGCTGGGCCACGGGGGCAGCTGGGCCCCGGGGGGGGGCGGCTGGGCCAGGGAGGCGGCTGGGCCAGGAGCGGCTGGGCCACGGGAGCCTGGGCACCTGCACACCTGGCTTCTCGGGGCCTCTCTTCTGGGGGACCAGCCGTCCGCTTTGGGGCCACCATAACGCATCCAGTTTGGCCTCATCCTAACTCGGTCCCGTCAGGATGGCGGGAGGAGGGACATAGACATACATGCAGTTTGGGGTCACCATTCACCCCACTTCATGGTGCAGGACACGGGCGGCCGTGGGGAGGGGAGCAGCACCTATGTGGTCCCTCCTGTAACCCAGGTCCAGCCCACACCCATGTACCGGGCACCAGTAGGCGTCACGGGGCCCAGGGACCCCCCTGCAGGCCAGAACTCGCCCCCCGGGTGTGGGGGTGGGGTGGGGTGCTGGGAGGGGAAGGCTGTCCCGGACCCCACCTGGCCTGAGGAGCCGCTCCCGGACAAGACTGCCACCGGGCTGTGCCCCCCGGTGGTCAGGGCCACCTCTCTTGCCAAGGAGACTCAGAGGGCGGGGTAGAAGGAAGGAGGGTGTCAGGGCTCCAAGCTGGCCTGGCCGGGCCCCCAGCCCCCAGGGGACACCATGATCTGGGGGTGGGGTGGGTGGAAATGTCTGCGGAAAGTTCTTCGAGCACATGCAGAAGTTCCAGGCGGCGGGGCAGCTGGAGGGCGCCGTCCACAAGGCCTTCCAGACGCTGGACAAGGACAAGAGCGGCTGCATCGAGTGGGACGAGATCAAGTAACAGCCGTGCGGGGCGGGGGTGCGGGGCGCGGGCCCTGGCCTGCCTGTCCTCGCCCCTCGCCCGCCCAGCGGCCCGGCTCCCTCCGTGGGCCCCACCCAACCCTCCGTGGGGCGGGGCTCAGGCCAGCACTGACCGCTTGGCTGGCCTCGGGCCCCTGTAAAGCGGGCGCTCTGTAAGCTGACCGAGCCCGCCCGGCCAGGTACGTCCTGTCCACCGTCCCCAGCAGTGGGCCGGCCGCCCCGCTGACGGACGAGGAGGCCGAGGCCATGACCCAGGCGGCCGACTTCGAAGGTGGGCACGCGGGCCGTCCCTCCGGCCTCCCTGCCCTCCCTCCAGCCGGCCCCCTGCCCTTGGCCCCCCATCCTGTCCACATCTCCCTGCCCGCCCCCTCCAGCCGGCCCCCTGCCTCTCCAGCCTCCCCTCCGCCCTCTGAGGCAGAGCTGGGTGGCTCCCCCTGCAGGTGCTGACCGTGCCCCCAGCTCACAGCCATCTGTGATGCACACCCCCATCCCCCAATCGCAGTCGGGAACGGGTCTTCAAGGGGCCGGCTGGGGAAAGTCACCTGGGCGGCCTCAGGCCGAGGGTCAGGGGGAGATTGGGGGTGGGGTGGGGCCCTGGAGGGAGGTGGGGGGCAGGAGCTGCAGCCCTAGGCAATGGGGGGGTGCCGAGTGGGAACTGGCATTTGTGGGGCCGGGGCCTTCCGGAGGCTCCCAGGGCGCCCTGAGGTGTCACCTGCCCCCCCCTCCCCCGCCCCCGCCGGCCGTGGACCAGGAGGGCAGGAGGCCTGGTTGGGGGAGCACAGCCCAGAGCCACCGATGGGCTTCTGGACGCCCTGCCAGCTGTGGGCTCACCCTCACCCCCGCCTCCACGCCCCGCGCCCTGACTTGTGGGGACCCCAAGGTTTGCTCAGGACATGGCCCCCAGCCCCTCTGTGCCTCAGTTTCCCCACTGAAGGCGGGTGGAGTCTAAGGGAATGTGGAGGTCCCCACAGAAACCTCCATCGTGAGCCCCAGGTGGGTCGGGCGCCCAGGACTGAGGGGTCCCTACTCGGAAAGGGGGCACACCCCCGCGGGCCAGGGGGCTCTGGGGCACAAGGAGGGTCGCCTACAGAAGCCTGTCTCCTCCCCAGAGTTCTCCGAGCTGGTCAAGAAGGAGAAAACCCCGAAGAAGAGGTAGCCCAGCCGGCCGGCCGGCGAGGGCCTGAGGGCAGCGGCCCCGTGTGGCCCGTGTGCCCGCGAGGCCGAGGGAATAAACGGCACCGAGTGACCGACCGGGGCGTGGCCTGTGTGGGCGCCTCGTGCACGGGGCCGGGTCTCGGGTCGGGGGCAGGTGTGTGAGCGGCCTTGTCTCTCGTCTGCCTCCTGTTCCCACCTCCCTGCATCGAGCCCCCTCCCCCGGGGGCTCTGCTCGGGCTCCTGCCGGCCGGTCCCTGGGCCGCCGGGGTCCACCCCTCGGGCTCCTGCGTGCACCCCGGCCATGTTCTCTGGGTTGGACACGACTAGGGTCAGTCCCTGCACCTCCTCCTGCTCTCCCTTCGCCCCAAATTCTAAGGAAGAGCCCCGCCCGCCTGCCCCGGCCTCGGCCCCGCCCCACTGCCACCTGTCAGCGCCTCCTGGAGGCCTCAGCACCCTGGAGGCCACCGCCCCTCCCGCCTCTCCTGGGCTGGGCCTTCGCCCGTTTTCTCTCCCGGACGCGTCCCTGGCCGCCGGCCAGGAGGACAGCAGCCCCAAGGGCAGCGGCCTGGGCGCCATGAAGACAATCCGTTCTCCAGCGAGAGACACAAACACCACGTCCCGGGGACGGAGCCGCCGCCCGGAGGTGCCTGCCGGACGGCCGTGACCCACATGCACACAGTCCACCCTCAGCACTGGCCGCGCTCAGTCCACCCTCAGCACTGGCCACGCTCACAGTCCACCCTCAGCACTGGCCACGCGCACAGTCCACCCTCAGCACTGGCCGCACTGGCCACGCGGAGGGCCTGAGGGCGGCTCCTGCCGGGCCTCACGGCGAGAGCTGAGTGCCCAGCGTCCTCCCCAGGCAGCGCAGCCCCCACAGTGAGGCCCCCACTCTTGTGAGCAGGGAGCTCCTGGCCGGGCAGAGGGGGCAGCAGAGGGGAGCGGGAGCCACCCGGGAGCCTGCCCCCTGCCCCGCCCCCTCCCGCCGGGCTCCCCTGAGCCGGGTGCAGGGCAGGCAGGGAGCCTGGGGTCCGCCCTCCGCCCTCCGCCCCAGGACCAGGAGAGACAGGCAGGGACTCCAGAACTAAGTAACAGCCCTTTACTGTCACAGCGGCCACGCGAGCCGCAGGGCGAGGGCAGAGGGAGGGTCCGCCTCCCAGACCCGCCGGCTGCGCGCCCGCCCGGCCTCGGGCGGCGTCTCGGGCGGCGTCTCAGGCGGCGTCACTTGGCGCTGGGCAGAGGCCGCCTGCGCTGCTCCAGCAGCTCCTCCAGGTGGTCCGCTCGCTTCACCGCGGCCTGCAACACGCACCGCGGTCAGGCGCCGGCCCCCCCCCCCATCCAGCCCTCCCCGCCCCCACCCCCACCCCGGTCCAGCCCTCCCCGCCCCCACCCCCACCCCGGTCCAGCCCTCCCCGCCCCCACCCCCACCCCGGTCCAGCCCTCCCCCACGCCCTCCCGCCTCCACCCCGGTCCAGCCCTCCCCCACGCCCTCCCGCCTCCACCCCGGGCCAGCCCTCCCCGCCCCCACAGGCCCACCTGGTGCTGCTTCCACAGGCTGTTCACGGCCTCCTCCTTCTTGGCCAGGGCCGCCTTCACCCTGTGGGCACAGGCGGGTTCTGGGGTCTGCGGCCAAGTCCAGATGGGGGCTGGGGGCCTCCACCCCAACAACAGGAGGGCAGCTCCGGCCCGCCCCCGGCGGGCTGCGGGCACGGGGCGGCCGTAGGAGGGGGGCCAGGAGCCGTGGCCGGAGGACCAGCCCCCGCGGCCAGAGCCCCCAGCAGGGCCTGGCTGTGCCCGCCGCCTCTCGGGTGCCGTGCTGGGCAGACGGGCAGACGATCCGGGCGCTGGGCCGTGTGGGGTCTCTTCACTCCTGAGCCGCCCCCTCTGCACCGCCCCCGCCTCCCCCGGGGCCGGGTTCCCCGGAGACACGGGCTGCCTGGGCCGGCCCCCGGACGCCTGGCTTCCTGTCTGGAGCGCCCGCCCCGCCCGCCGCCTCCACCCTCAGGCCTTGCTCACCGGACGTGCACGGCCTCCAGCTCCGCCTGCTTCTCCCGCCGCAGATGCTCCAGCTCCAGCCGCTGCCGCGCCCGCAGCTCGGCCAGCTCAGCCCTGACCCGCCGGCTCTCCTCCTCCGAGGCGGCCAGTCGGTCGGCGAACTCCTGGCGGAGCACCTGGGCCAGGCCGCTCCGCTCGCCCACCAGCTGCTCGTTCACCTGGTGGGGGAGGCAGGGCCGTGAGCCGGCACCGTGGACGGGAGCCGTGGACGGGAGCCCGAGGTGGACGGGAGCCGTGGACGGGAGCCCGAGGTGGACGGGAGCCCGAGGTGGACGGGAGGCCGAGGTGGACGGGAGCCCGAGGTGGACGGGAGCCGTGGACGGGAGCCGTGGATGGGAGCCGTTGACGGGAGCCATGGACGGGAGCCCCCGGAGGCGGGGAGGGCCCGGCACCCCCCGCGCTCACCGCCTTCACTTCGGCCAGCGCCTTGTCCTTCTGGCGCACCAGGCCCTGCAGGCGCGCGCCCTCGCCCTCGGCCTCCGCCAGCCGCCCCCGCAGCTGGGCGCACTGGTCCTGCAGCCGCTGCTGCACCTGCTCCAGCTCCACCAGCTCCGCCTCGTGCTGGTCTCGCAGGCGCTTGATGCTGCAGGGGAAGCACAGGCCGGTCAGCCACCCACGCCCTGCACGCCGGCCGCTCACCGGCCCCGGCCAGCCTCCCACGCCCTCCGCCTGGCGCCCTCCGCCCGGCCGCTCACCGGCCCCGGTCAGCCTCCCACGCCCTCCGCCCGGCCGCTCACCGGCCCCGGTCAGCCTCCACGCCCTCCGCCCGGCCGCTCACCGGCCCCGGCCAGCCTCCACGCCCTCCGCCCGGCCGCTCACCGGCCCCGGCCAGCCTCCACGCCCTCCGCCCGGCCGCTCACCGGCTCTCGGCGGCCCGCTCGCTCTCCTCCCGGGCCTGCGTCATGTCGGCCTCCAGCCGGCGGATGACCAGCTCGATGTCCTTGTCTCGGCCTCTCCGGATCTCCTCCTTCAGCTCCCGCTCCCGGCTCAGCAGCCACGCCTCCTGGGGGACAGGGCCCGAGGGGACCAGGGTAGTGGAGGCGGCCCAGGGCCGGATTCGTGGGGGTGGAGGGACCGCACTCCGCCCCAGGCCCATCCGTCACTGGGACCCAGTGGGGACCGAGGGGTGCAGGGGGCGCCCGCAGGGGGCTGATCACATGACAGGGCCTCGCCTGGGCTGAGGGTGGCCGGGCGCCCCATGACTGGGGTGAGGGCGCCGGGGGCGGCCTCTCAGACGGGCACTGGACAACTGGACACGCGGCAGGTTTAACACGGTGCCCTCTGAGCCTGCCAGCTCCCAGGCTCGGCTGCTCGGCCACCGGGGGGTCGCCGGGCGGTAGGTGGCTGTGTGTCCGTTACCGGAGGGAGGAGAGGAGCGCTCCCTCAGGGGCCCTGGGACCGCCGGCGCTCCGGACACGGGGGCAGGGCGGGGGCAGGGCGGGGGCAGCGCTCAGGGGAACGCCGGGCGAGGCCCAGGACGGGCCGGGGGAGGCCCAGAGGCAGACCCGACGCTGCAGGGAGGGGCCGGCCGCCGCCCACCTCCTTCTTGGCGCAGTTGGCCTCCCACAGCCGCCGCTCCACCTCCAGCTGCTCCTTCAGGGCCTGCAGCTCCATCTGCAGGCGGGAGGGCGGCAGACGACGGCGGCCATGAGAGCAGCCCGGCCGCCCTGCCCGTGCCCGCGGGGCCTCCCTCGCCCCCGGGCTCCGGGCTCCGGGCGGGGCGGGGCCGGGGCAGACCTGGTGCCGCTGCTCCAGCTCCTCCCGCGCCTGGTCCAGCTCGGCCCGCAGGGCCCGGGCCCTGGCCGCACTGCCCTCCTCCAGCTGCTGCCGCAGGTCCTCCAGCTCCGCCCGCTGCCTGCAGGCGCGGGGGTCAGTGTGCGGGCGGGGGGGGGGTCAGTGTGCGGGCGGGGGGGGGTCAGTGTGCGGGCGGGGGGGGGTCAGTGTGCGGGCGGGGGGGGTGTCAGTGTGCGGGCAGGCACGGGGGTCAGTGTGCGGGCAGGCACGGGGGTCAGTGTGCGGGCAGGCACGGGGGTCAGTGTGCGGGCGGAGGGGGGGTGTCAGTGTGCGGGCAGGCACGGGGGTCAGTGTGCGGGTAGGCACGGGGGTCAGCGTGCGGGCGGGGGGGGGGTCAGCGTGCGGGCGGGGGGGTCAGCGTGCAGGCAGGGGGGTCAGCGTGCGGGCAGGGGGGTCAGTGTGTGGGCAGGGGGGTCAGTGTGCGGGCAGGGGGTCAGCGTGCGGGCAGGGGGGTCAGTGTGCGGGCAGGGGGGTCAGTGTGTGGGCAGGGGGTCAGTGTGTGGGCAGGGGGGTCAGTGTGCGGGCAGGGGGTCAGTGTGTGGGCAGGGGGGTCAGTGTGCGGGCAGGCGCGGGGGTCAGTGTGCGGGCAGGGGGGGTCAGTGTGTGGGCAGGGGGGTCAGTGTGCGGGCAGGGGGAGGGGGGGTCAGTGTGCGGGCAGGGGGAGGGGGGGTCAGTGTGCGGGTAGGGGGTCAGCGTGCGGGCGGGGGGTCAGCGTGCGGGCGGGGGGTCAGCGTGCGGGCAGGGGGTCAGTGTGCGGGCAGGGGGTCAGCGTGCGGGCAGGGGGGTCAGCGTGCGGGCGGGGGGTCAGCGTGCGGGCGGGGGGCGCGGGGGCGCGGGCGGACGGCACCGGCACCTGGCGGCCTGCTGGCCCAGCCGCTCCCTCTCCTCGGCCACCTCGCCGTAGAGCCGCCGGCGCAGCTGCTGCAGCTCCCGCTGCTCCTGCTCCAGCTGCTGCTCGAAGCTGCGGAGGAGGAGCTGCTGGGCCGGCGCAGGGAGCCCCGCCCCGCCCGCCCGCCGCCCGCCGCCTCCGCCCCTGTTCGCTCCGGTCCGAGCCCCGAGCTCCAGGCACGCCGGGCCGCCCACCGCTGCTGGGCGCGGGCGCGCTCCTGCTGGGCCAGCGCCTCCTTGTCCTGCTCCAGCTGCTCCCGCAGCGCCTCCGCCTGGCGGCCGTAGCGCTGGGCCGCCCGCTCGTCCGCCTGCAGCAGCTCGGCCGCGTGCAGGCCGCGCAGCCTCTTCACCTCCTGCTTGTGCCGGGCCAGCAGCTTCTGGATCTCGGGCTCCAGGCCTGGGGGGCGGAGCCGGCGCTGCAGGGACCGGCCTTGGCCCCGCCCCCCCGCCCTCCCCCGAGACGCCAGGCCAGTGGGGGCTCCCGGGAGGAGGGTGCACTGGGCCCCGCTCTCTAAGGGGAGGAGCCACGGGACCGGAGGCAGGAGACCTGACCCACCTGGGCGCCCACGGCGCCTCCGGGGGCCCGCGCCCGCGCCCAGCGTGACCCGCCCGTCCCCGCCGCACCTCGGACCGTGATCTCCTTGATCTTGCGGGTCTTCTCGCTCATCCACTTCTCCCTGCGCGCCTTCTCCGTCGCGCTCATCAGCTCTTTGAGCTGCTTGATCTCCTGCGGAGAAGACGGGCGTGGCACGAGCTGCGGGGCGGGCACCGCGGCGCGCGCGCGGGGCTTCGGCGGGCTCTCGGGGGCGCCGCGCTCCGCCGGGCTGCACCAGCCCCGAGGCGGCTGAGGCCGGCAGAGGCCGGGGCGTGGCCTGCCGCCGCTCACCAGCACGTGCTGCTCCCGCATCCGGGCCTCCCGCTCCTGGCGCCTCTGCTCGCCCTGCTGCAGCTCGGCCACCACGGCCGCGCACTTGTCCGCCAGCATCTTCTTGTCCTCGATCAGCTGCAGCGGGCGGGAGGGCGCCCATGAGCCCGCCCGGTGCCCCTCCCCTGCCTGGCGCCCTCCCCTGCCTGGGGCCGGCACTCCAGCTGAGCCCTGTGGTCACGGTCAGGGGCTGCCACGCCCTCCACGCCCCGGCATCATGGCCCCAGAGCAGAGCGGAGTCGCCACGAAAACTGCTGGAGCCACCCGGGTGCTCCGGCTCCTTCCTCCCCTCAGCCCGCCTCTGCCCACAGGCCCGGCGGAGGCGGAGGCGGAGGCGGAGGCGCAGGCTGAGCTGGGAGCCGCAGCCCCCCGGAGCCTCCAGGGCCACCGGGCGCAGCCGCCAGGACTCCGGCCCAGAGAGCACAGGAGAGGCTCAGAGGCCGGTGGGCACTCAGGTGGGTCATGTCTCCTGCAGACACCTCCCCCGTGGTCCTGGCGGCCCAGCGGGGGCCCTGCCCACCTGCCATGCAGACCAGAGGGCAGGGCTGTGAGCCTTGGACTGGCCCCGTGGTCGGCAAATTGCGGCTCTTTGGCCCCTTGAGTGTGGCTCTTCCACAAAACACCACGGACTGGGCAAGTCTATTTTGAAGAAGTGGCGTTAGCCGAAACCGGTTTAGCTCAGTGGATAGAGCGTCTGTCTGCAGACTGAAGGGTCCCAGGTTCGATTCCGGTCAAGGGCATGTACATTGGTGGTGGGCACATCCCCAGTGGGGGGTGTGCAGGAGGCAGCCGGTTGATGTTTCCCTCTCATCGATGTTGCTAGCTCTCTATCCCTCTCCCTTCCTCTCTGTGAAAAACCAATAAAATACATATTTAAAGAAAGAAGAAGAGGAGGCATTAGGAGGAGTTTGTTTAAAAACGTGGCTCTCCAAAGAAATGTCCATCGTTGTGCTGCTGGTATTTGGCTCTGTTGACCAATGAGTTTGCCGAGCACTGAACTAGCCCACTGAGCGGTGGACACCTGCTCCCCGGGGGGAGGCCCTGCCCGCCCTGTGCGCTCCGGCTCACCTGGTCGATGAAGGACAGGTGCCGCTGGATGGTGGCCTCGTAGTGCTCCCTCTGCTGCCGCAGCTGCCGGCCCAGCTCCTTCTCCGTCTCCTTGACCCGCCGGAGGGTGAGGTCCCGCTGCTGCGCCTGGGTGCGGGAGGCCCGGGATAAGGACCACTCAGCCGGTCTGCGCTCAGACCCATCCAGAGGGCCACCTGGGGCAGAGGCGGCGGCAACCCAGCAGGACGTGCCAGTGGGGACGGTGGGGACAGTAACGGGCGGGGGGGCGTGAGGGCGGGGGGGGGGGGGGCGTGAGGATGGGGGCGTGTGAGGGCGGGGGCGTGAGGATGGGGGTGCGAGGGCGGGGGGGGGCGTGAGGCGGGGGGGCGTGAGGATGGGGGCGTGTGAGGGCGGGGGCGTGAGGATGGGGGTGCGAGGGCGGGGGGGGCGTGAGGCGGGGGGACGTGAGGATGGGGGGGGCGTGAGGGCAGGGGGCGTGAGGATAGGGCGGGGGCGCGCGGGCGGGGAGGTGAGGGCGGGGGCGTGGCAGGGGCGTGAGGGCGGGGCGTGAGGGCGGGGCGGGGGCGTGTGGGCGGGGCTGTGAGGGCAGGGCGTGAGGGTGGGGCGTGGCGTGGTGGGGGTGGGGTGGTGCTCACCAGCGCCCGCTGTAGCAGGCCCATCGCCTGCTTCTTCTCCTCCACCTCCAGCTTCAGCCGCATCACAGAGGCGCTCGCCTCGGACCCGGACTCCAGGCGCCGCGGCCCCTCCTCCAGCACGAGGCCCTGAGGACGCGCCCTGTCAGCGGGTCCGTCCCGGGGAAGAGCTGCGCCTTCCTGCCCGGGGGCCCGCACCCTGGGGCCCGCACCCTGAGGGCCCGCACCCTGGGCACCCGCACCCGGGGGCCCGCACACCTGGAGGTCCGCCGGCTGCTCCCGCCCCGACTGCTCCATCTCGTCCAGGAAGCACCGGATGCTCTGCAGCTTGGCCTCGGACAGCAGCGCGCCGTCCTCCGGGGGCCCGGCCGGCGCGCTCAGCCTCTCCAGGTGGTCGGCGGTCAGCGAGCCAGCATCGTCCTCCTGCGGGGGCGGGGCGCTAGGCTGGCCTTCCAGGAGCTCTGGCTCAGGCCTCCCGGTCCCTCCCTGACCACCCCCCCGGGCCCCCCTGCGCCGACCTCATGAGGGACCGGAGAGCAGGGCCGGGGGGGGGGGGGGCAGGGAGGGACCGGAGAGCGAGGGCTGGTGGGGGGGAGGGAGGGACCGGAGAGCGGGGGCGGGGGGGGCAGGGAGGGACCGGAGAGCGGGGGGGGGGAGTGGGGGGGGCAGGGAGGGACCGGAGAGCGGGGGGGGGGGGGGGGCAGGGAGGGACCGGAGAGCGAGGGCTGGTGGGGGGGAGGGAGGGACCGGAGAGCGGGGGGGGGGGGGGGGCAGGGAGGGACCGGAGAGCGGGGCCCGGGCCCGGGTGCGGGGGGGGGGGGGGGGGGCGGGAGAAAGAGCAGGGCCCGGGGAGGGGGCCAGGCGCCCGTACCTCGTCGCTCCAGGCGCATCTGTCCTTGTGGGAGGCCCTGGGCCGGGGCAGCGGCTCGAGCGCCTCCTCCAGCAGCCGCAGCGTGTCCAGCAGCTCGTCCAGGGTCGCCCGGTACTGGGCCCGGCCCCCGGGGCCGCCCGGCCCCAGGGCCTCCCCAGCCGCGTCCTGGGCGCCGGCGTCCTGAGGCAGACGGTGAGCGG